TTTACTTGTAATTAGTAGTTCATATTGTAGTGTATATTGTTTTGACTTTATTGCACGGTCATTTGAACTTTTAAACCAAAAAGTAGTACAACGTGGATGCGCCAATTTTACGAGTAACATTTATTTACATAAACATGCGTATTAAATGATTATGCAAACATTTCAGATACTTATATTATGTTGCTTTTAACACGTGCCTAGTAATTATCTCGGTGAAATAGCTTTAATGTCAGTTATTGTTCGTCTATACTGGAGAAGCTTAAATAGAAAGAAACTTCCTATTGTTCCTTAACTTGTGATGATTGTGATAATGATATAAATAATACTTGTGAATACACATAAATCATTTATCATTGAAATTGAAGACTTTGTGATCTACATTTTCTTAGATGGAAATCTATCTCTAGTCCTCAAATATCGTCAGATTGTAACTAACATGCAATCATTTACCTACCATCATTATTTCAATGCGATAACCTTCGTTATCTTTTAGCAAATGTGAAATAAAAACACAAATAAGCTTTTTAAATTAACTGCTTATAAACAGTGTTGCTCATAATGAAGTGCGTTAATAAGAGAAGCTTTGATATTTATATTCGCAAGCTCCTTTCCATTGTGAACAATGACACAAAGATTTTAAGAAATCTCGGCCGTTTGCGAAAAGAATTCGGTGAAGTGCTCAGATTTTCCTCGAAGCAGTCTAGAACTTAAACGTTGTTTTGGGTTGGAATTTGAACCAATAGAGCTATTTTTATGACAATAAACTAACTTCCATTCGTTATTAAGTGTTTTAATTATAATTAAATAACTAGTTTTACGTCTATTCGAAACATTATTTCGTCATCTTTGATGATATATAGAAAAATCCTTTTTAGCAAACCTCTATGTTATAATAATATATTAATATGACAAATTTCAGCTTAATCCTGGATCCAGCATCAATTACTGGTAAGCAATTTGTAAACAGATTTAGTTAACTAGTTTGTTTTATTTGTATCTTATAATAAATATTTTTTTAAACAGAGTTCTATGATCTGTATAGTATAGTACTAATATTTTTATAAATAAATATCGGCATAATACGTCTTGCCGTTCAAAAGAGAGCAAGCAGAAGCCGAATATATACTTTAATGCGTTACGGTCCCATTCGTAGTATACAGACGAATGGAAAAGAAATGGCGCACAATAACGAAAAGCAAATGAAAACGACTCGCAAATGAACTCAAGTTATGAATAATTAAAAAAATTTCAAGCGTTTCAAAGATGAGAAAATAACTACATCGGTGTATTTTATAAATACGAATCTACCGAAACCACAGCAATATGCAGGTATAATATGTCAAATTTCCTCTAAGGATTTTCAACTCTAACTTAAATGCATTATGATTGAATATTTGTATATGCTGATTTTACTTGAGTTGTTTTCTTAATCTTAATTCTTAATGGTAGAAAGCAAGCGACTTATTCCCGCATAAGTCACCTGACCTATATTCGCCCTTCATTACGCTTTCTCTTTTAAAGACAAGCGCATTTCATGCCTAGAGCTTTAATAATTTTAGCTTGGCTTATCCCTTTTATGTTTAATGGAACAAACAGGAAAAAATAATTTCATCAAAAGACAGAAAAATATCATCGTATTTTCTTGATTTTTTGCACTAATAATTTACTGAGTATTAAATATAGGTTGACTATAATTACGCTATTGACTCATAGTGTTCACCTGCTCTGTAAATTAATTTAAACAATTAATTTTTTTTTTTATTAGAGCAACATTGTTATTTACTTTTATAAATTGAGCGTCAATATTGTAACTATTTTGCAAAGCTACAATACGCCAAAATCTTAATAGTCAATAAAATGCCAAATTTTTTGTAAAAAATATCTCAAAAACAATTGTAACATTTTATTTCTCTTCCCCTTGGTAATATAATACAACAATGAGGAAATAAATGGTTGTATGTTTATTTTTTGCATTTCTCTGAAACTACTTGCCTGAATTTCAAGATTGTTTCACATTTCACCTTCGGGAATCTTGTGAATAGGGTTAATTATTTATAATTTGTTTTATTTTGTATTTTTGGGAATTATATAATAAGCTATATAACTTATGAAATTCTAAATAATTTATATAAATAATATATATTGCAAACACTTAAACATATTTTTACTTTTATCCTAATAAGCCAAATTATCAGTAATCTAGCAAACTATCAATAAGTTTCATAAGCTAGTGTCGATACAAAATAAAATTAACTAACTCAAATTTATTCGTAAAATCCAATTACTTTCTACCAATGTCTAATGTAAATATTTATTCTAGTGATCGTATTAGACCTACGTGATATTTATATTCGTTTTAGTGAAATCATTCGCTGTTGAATAGAAACATTTCAAGTTTCTTTATTACCATAGGAAGTCAGCTGTATAATTGATTTTCTACATCGTCGGTCCCCATTCCCATTTTCTCCGTGAAAGGTGCAGATAATATCTTGTGGTCCATGGAATTGTAATAAGTATTTGCCTATATTGAACTTGAAAGGGGTTCAAACTTCTATTGGATAATTGGATTGGATGGCTACGCATGATGTGTTTTTATGTGGTCCAGAGTTGATTTGATTTAAATAAATAAGATTTTTATTTGTGCTATCTCATTTTCAATGATATATAACTTTTTAAATGATCTTTAAATAAAAAACATCCTTTTGTTGAGTTATTTAAGTTTATTATTACCTTTACAGTCGTTTAACATATTTTTTATTGTTTACAGATGAGAAATTTGTGTTACAATAACAAAAAAATGTGCAACAACATATATAAAATATTTGAAGTTATTATTAAATACATACTAATTTGGCTTTGCCTTTTAAACTCCTAGATATATTACAAACAAGAGAAATTACTATATATACTTAGAACAAGAACTTTTTATCATCATAACTGTACATTTTTGTAATAAAATACACGTTCATTATGTATACCGTATAGCTATGGAACTTCATTTGAAGTCAGTAATAAATTATTAACGAATACATTAATATAAATATTATTTACATCCCATGAATTCTTGTAACTGTTATCTCTTATCGGCATATTATTATACTTAAAACTATACATTTAATGGTACATAGTATTTTTGGCAACTTGTTATTGGTAACACGATAAAGTATATAATACTCATGTTTTTAATGGATACCTGGATTAACTTTTAACTCGAAGAGTTTCAGGAAGCTTTGAAAGAAAAAAAATACGTTTATCAACTTTTGAAGAAGAGTAACTTCTGATGTGTTCTTTAATAATTCTGTATTGAAGCATTATACAGATACGCAGATAAGTACAAGGTATATTCTCTACAATCATAACATAAGTTTCAGTTGGTTTCTTTAAAACCAACGGCAACGAAGTCGCACGAACCTTTAAAAAACATTTGAAATTTCGTTAATGGGCGTAGAGAGAAGTACTCAGCACCTATCAAAACGTATATAATCTCTTTTATTACACTAACCTTATGAATAAGGTTAATTTATAAAGCGTATCTAAATTTTCTTTCGAAACTTTAACATAATAAACACATTTTTTATGGTCAAATATTAAAAATAGCAAGTCTTTTTCCTTATATTTTTAGCTTTGTTTCAGTATCTATTATTCTATAAGAATTTGTATTGAATAATATTTGAAATTTTATTCTTATACATGACTTCAAAAGACAAATGACTTTTTAATTGAAAACAAACTTTGTCGTAACAATAGACTATTAAAGTTCCATAAACTTTCAACAAGAACAAAAACAAGTGTTCATTTCAAAAGACAATAATAAATTTAATTTATACTTGTCACTTAATTATTGTAATAAATTGTATTTTAAGTGATCCTAAATTAAATTTACAATTTTGACCTCTCTTCAAGTATTTATTACAATTATAAAGGGAAGAATTTAATATAAATGGTGTGAGTGGATGTCACCATTTATATTAAATATTAAAATATATTAAATTTTATATTTATTTCTCAAATGCACTTCATGTTAATGATAAAAGAAAGAGTACTATTGAAGCTATATACAATTTTTGAGGTTGCCAGAATAATGTTCCCTTATTCCAGGTATCATGATGTACTGCAGCTTGATTCTCACCTGTGGGAAAAAACTCACATATCTTAACCGAACCTTCACTAATCTGACCTACCTGATACCTGAAGTAATCAAAGTGGTTTCTAAAGTCTTATTGACAAAAATTAATAACGCTTATGAAATTGAAATTCGCTTGAATAACGCTTATTATTATCTTTATTATAAGAAGTAATGCATACAGCACTACAACACAGCATCATACTATCTATGAAATATATAAAATTTTAAGACTATACTTTTTTTAATTAGCCGCTAATCGTGAAGTTTTGACGTTAAAAATTTATTAAAGTAAGTGAATTAAATTATATCCAAATAATTTTGCAATTCTTTAAAGTAACATACTGCTAGCGAAAATATAGAACTTAATTTTAAAAAGAAAAATATGTTACAAAAATGCGTTATTACATTATGTGTCTCTAAATTTGGTGATGGTACGAACATATAATGAGAAGCGATGATATGCATGTGGTAAAGTTACGAGCGAAAATGTAAATGAGTATGGAAGAGAAAGGCCTACTAAATTGTTTGAAAAATGATATGGTGAGGAAAAGGCGACTGTTGATTAAGAAATATGGATGGAGAAGAAAACACAATTATGACGTGGACCGTGAGAGAAACTTTGATCAGGTTATATACTTGAATTTGTCTTACATAGTTAACAATATATCGTATATATATGTAAAATTAGTATCTAAAATATTGTATAAATAAAATTACAACATTAAAAACTCCTGAAATATGGCTTATTCATTGAAAGTCATTAGTTATTGTATAATAACATCCACCGTTGATGAATACTGAAATGCTAAAAAGTCGGTTTCCAAAAAAAATAATATAATCTAAACCTATTCCAGTAGTACTCCAGAAGTCGCAACACTCAGAATTATTAAACAACCGTACTCTATTTAATATTAATTATGTCAGAACTCACCGATCAGTACGTGAACATTAACGATAACTTGTGAATGGTTCTGCAGGATACAAGTATATGTGCCGCTGTCATTTTGCGATGCAGATGCCACGTTGATTGTGGCGCTAGAATCCAAAGACGACAATCAATTTGTGGTTCATTACAAATTCCGATCTTCGCGGCAGGCGTTTGTCTTGATTGTGAGGTTAGAATGCCCGAAATGTGACAGACATTTAGATGAATTTAAGCGCGATTCCTACTAAATCTTCGTGGCTTAGATACACCAGCCGTTTGAAAAGTCGGAAGTTTTTTGTACTACTAACGTTTTGCAGATGGTAACAACTAAAATGTACACTAAGATTGGCAATTAATATTTTATTACACTAAGTATTTCCCTAAATGAGAGGTTTTATCAAATAATTTCCTGCCTGAGCAGAAATTTACTAATACATTATATCTATATGCTATTAATCGGATCTTATAATGACAAAAGTAAGGCTTCAATCCAAAATGGTTATATTGAAATGTATCATATTATGTTTTAATATTTAATAAAATATTTGTGAATCATTGGTATTTTAGTGCTATGTTTTCTGAAAACTACTTAATATTCACACTCCCCGATTTAATCATAATTTTTATACTTATCATATTATGATATAAAGATGCTGTTACAGTCTTTCGAATGACTTGACTTTCGGCTGCTTAGACATTTATTTTAATGGATTAGATCTTAACAAATACTAATAGTGTGAATAGAGAGAAGTACATAAAGTAGGGTAACCAAATTTGGGAACCCGAAACGAAATTCTACGAGATTACCCGCGGGCGTGCTCGACCTTGTCACACGCCCTTGCTCGTTTATTTATTCGAAACCGAGGGAACAACCAAGTGTGATTCTATCGTAAGTTCAAGTAATAACAAAGCAGTAGTCGCCTCATCGTAGAAATTGGATCATTAATCATTTAAATTTAAAGGCCTTAACCTGAATTTTAATTTTAGTTTTTAGACTGAGTGACATTTGACCACTATTTGACCTGATAGCAAGTAAAATATGGCCTCCCATGGTATATGCTTATCCAGGAAGTGCCCATTCACTCTGGCTTTAGATTATACTGGTTGGGGAGCACATTAAACAGGCAATGCATTCCATCTCTTAGCAGTTCGAGCAAGAAAGGAACTAGCAAATCGCTTAGTACGCTTCACTTAGGACTATCGCATACATGTACGCGCCGAATCGTCAAAATTCTAATATCATTTGCAAGGTGCATTTTTCTTTTATTTCGTCTCCTTCAGCTCTAATAGATATGCGAGCCTCATAACTGTGCTAAAATTTAAATTCCTTAGGAGTACAAAGAAATATATAGAAACGGTTAACTAACCTTATATTGCGAAAGGTGACGTTATCAAAATAATCTTTCCCTTGCTTCTTCCAGGCTAAACCATAAATGTTGTTCTCAATCGGAGGCGGAGTGGGTCTAGTTGTTGTCAATACAGTCGTTTTCTCTATCTCCGGTGCTTTTGTTGTTGTACTTATACTAACTGTTGAAGTTATAGTCGTCGTTTCAACACTCCAACTTCTGTTCATCATTAAATCTATCCTATTAAATACAGTACTCATTCTTGTTGTTAATTCAGTTGTTGTTGTTAATGCAGTTGTTGATGTTGAAGGCTTAAGCGTAGTAGCGGGCGCTTTTGTGGGCAATGTTGAAACGTATTCTTCTGATATGACGCAAGATAGTTTTATTGAACTTCCAGCTTTATAGAACATGTCTTTTACTGAATGAGTGTGATCACTATTTATAGTCAAAACTGGTGCTGAAAATAAATTTATATAAAGGAAATGTTGCGTAGTATAATGATAGTTATTCCTTGATTAATATTGGTTACTCAGATTAGGAAATCCTGCATCAATGTGCTTAATGGAATTATTATGGTTAAAATAACAAGAACGCATTATTGGTATTTTAGAAAAGTAGTAGCCTATTCTGAACACTAACTAACTTTCCATAAAATCGAACTTTACACATTGATGATTTCACTATACTTACGTAATACAGTAAGATTAACGAATATAGTCCTCGGCGGGTGTGTAGATATTTGGCACATGTAGCTGCCCGCGTCGTTTCTTTTCACGGGGTTCATACTTAGTCTCCAATTATTTGGGTACTGAAACTTCACAGCTATTCTGTTGTCCCCTGTGTACGGAGCTGGGCCCACTGTCAGCAGTTGTGCAGAATCAGTCGAGTTCCTCATCCACATAACCTGAACCAAACAAAACATAATCTTATAAATTTAAATCGAAAGTTAAGATATTCGTAATAATTCATTGGTTTGCATATTTAGATAGATTACTTGTACGTTAATAGATTGAGTCACTGCCAATAAAAGTAATAAGTTTTTGAGTAATTCGATAGTCTCGCTATGTTTTTCGGAAGCTCGATGGTGTAGCGGTTAGCATATCCAGTCTGCAATGTGAAGAAGTCCCAGCAGTGGTATTATAAATAGGTTAATTATGATGCTAAACTCTTAGGTTGCTCAATTGGTTAGAGAGGTTCAGTTTGTAAAAGGTTACGAATATGTAGTTCAATTTCAGGCACTTAATAATGCCGAAGTTTTTTCTATAAAACAATACGTAAGTATATGTTTGAATAGTTAAGTTTGGAGTCTAGATTTTCCGGTCGAATGAGAATGTCTGTGAGCCAGATTTTACAATGAATGCTGCAACAACGAAAATGATTTCAGCGATATGCAGATTATTTTTTTTTATTTCAAGCATTTATCCTATGAAGTCATTTATCTTACAGAAAAATATAAATACATTAGCATTGTACATGTACAATTTATCAACTTGAATATATAACCATATTACTAAATCATTGAAATATTCACCTAACTCAGTTATAGAAAAGTAGTGCTGTTTTAGAAATCCACTCTTTTAAAAGCTTGACGTTTTAAATCTTATAAATACGTACAAAAATTGTAAGTATTCTTGAGATGGCAACACCTTATATTATATAAAAAACTGGTCAAAAATGCACCATAACATAAGAACGGGACTCATTACTTTGACGTCATACAAATACAAATTTATACGGAAAATAAAAGGATCTTTGTTTTTTATGTACCGTCAATAAAAAATGAAAATTTTATAGGAATTACATAAAAGAATTAATTCGTTGGTGATTGATTAAATCAAAATTAAACGAATTGCATACATGATTATTATGATATATTCATTCAGTGGAAACTCGAGATTACGAATACGTATTGTGTTAGTTTATAACCATTTATTCGGTAGGATATCAGATTTATTGTAAGTAATCGAAAAATATATATATTTCATATTTTAATATTTGTATTTAAATCCTTTCGAGGTCAATAAATCAGAATTAAAATTTAAAACCTTATATATCCCGTATCTAAGTATGAGTGTAGTTTACATGAAATAACAACATGGAACAAGAAAAACTAAATAACAATTATTATTATAAACTATTAGAAAGATCTCTTATTCTTATCTCTCGATAACCCTCACGAAGTCAACGCGTTCGTTAGTCTGTTTAATTAAATGATTAATTGAATAAAATTTGTGCATAAATCAATAATAAACAATAACTCCACGCCCTGATTGTAAAATAAACTTGTAATTATATTAATTTTCATTTATATTAATAACTATAATAAAGAAAAACACAATCGATTATATCAAAACTATATTTTTACACTATTATTATACACATAATAAACTATAAATAAATAAACTAGAAATAATAAACTTCAATTCTAAATAAAAAGTGCAAAATATGAATGAAAATAAATACCTATTAAAACTTTGTAAGGGAATAAATCAAATAATATTCTTCTTATATTTAAAGATCAGTAAGCTTTATTGTGGGGGCGAGGTACCATTTATAATAATGAAAGGGAAAATCCTTGTTTATTTCAAGAGAGTTATGCGGCTAACGAACCACTTCTGTCCCACCCAGCCATTTACAGAGCCATGTTGCAAGCCTGCGGGCTTATTGTGAAAGGTATATTGGACGGTTATCGGAAGGTATTCTTTTCAATTTTTTGACAATTATTGTTCTCTACAATAGAGACAAAATAAATCGAATGACGATTATCTTGCATTAATACAAGTGCATTATTGTCAACCGTTATAAGTCAAATATCCATTAATGTTTGGTGACGTCTTTTAGCTGCAATGAACTTTCTAAATAAGAGAATTTTTATTGGTACTATCGTATCAAACAATTAGCAATTTTCATGGACGTTTGTGCAACTGAAACCAATTTCAGAATGTCAGATGACGAATTGAAAACACGTGTATACGTTTATTTGGCCATTCTAAATTTTGTCTTAATTAGAGTCTCATAATATCTCGTATCTTCATAGTGAGTTATTCAAAGTCGAAATTTAATCATTTTTCGTGATTATCTCGACTTTGATCGCTCCAATGGTCACATCGATTGATAAATGTAGCATATTAAATTTGGTACCAATTATATTCTGAATCTTGGTTGAATATAAAATTATAAGCACCCAATAAATATTAATAAAAAATCTTTGATAATTGCCTAACTTTGCCTTATTTTTAAAATCGATCGATAAGTGAATAAACATATTATTTAGCAGTAAGACGTTTAGCTATAGCTTTGTAGTGGCCTAAGCAAACTGGTTCACTATACGACATTTCAGATAATTTGTAAATCATAATAGAATGGCTACTAGGAATTTAAAGCAGTATACTAATGAGCGACCTATTACTGTAACCATTAGATGTAATGCTGTTAATGCAACCATTAAATGCTCATAGTGTGTACGTGGTTCACAAACTTCGTAATATCAGTATGTGGACATCTCAAGTAAAACCGTTTCATGTGGACACACTAGTTATCTCGTTACTGTATCAGTTCAGTTAAAGTTGTTGCTCACTAATGAGTACATGGCGTTAAACGTTAGGTACATATACAGAAGAACGTAAACAGCGAAACCAGTTAACATAATCCAATATCTATAACATAATATTTGGAAATAACCAAAGAAGAAGACAAATCCAATTCTGTATTGTAGTTGGCCGTAAGTTAATAAATCATGTCGAGACAAGGTAACTTAATTGAGATATTCGTAATTCAGTTTATGTAAGCAGCTAAATATAGGTGCTTCAAGCAAATCTGTTAACCAACTAACGAATGATACAAAAGAAAAGACGTAAGAACAAGAAAATTCTTGGAAAGAAGAAAAAACAGAATGATCTGAAGATATACATATATGGAATATAGAAAATAATAATAATAATAATCCACAATAAATACAATAACATTGTAATCAATCTCATGCCTTGTAACTAAGGTTATGGTTCAATCAGTATTATGATATTTTGTTCCGGTCATATTATTTTTTGATCTTTTGTAGGGGGGGGAAAACATCATGATGTTTCCCCCCCTGCAGTTTATTGAGTTAGTTCAAGCTTAAGCTTAATATGTAGTATAATGATTTTCTGCAATGTTGTTCTAATTTAGAAATATGAGTGTTACAAAACTGTATACTCGTGCTTTTTACACAGATCCCTAAAATATGTAGAACAAAAACTAGTTTTGTATGTACTGTTTATTAATAACTAATGACATACATATTTTATTTTAACTCCTATCCTAATGGATGTCAGAAATATATTTTTCGGAGCAAACTTTGAAGGAAACACTTCAGAGTACAATACAATAAAAACAATCTAAACTGGGCGCAAACTTGAAATCTACTTTCGATGTATAGAAATTTTCAGCGCTTTCTCCTACTCTGTGCCATAGCCATAAATAATACATAAGTCAGAGCAAAATAAATAACGCAACAGTCCATAATACATCCAAGGGTGATTTCAAAAATACAGCGCCAAGCCACGACCTAACTTATCTTCACCAATATTATAAAGAGGTTAAATTTCTATTTTCGATTATTCATTTGTTTGTTGGGGATAATCTTCGGAAATACTGATCCGATCATCAAAACTGTTTTACCTACTGGACCTACCTATTGGCCATAATTTATATGGGCTAAGTCGTGGGAAAACACCTAGTCTTAAAACAAAAAAGTAACGAAAGTGCTTATTTTAATATTCTCATATATGTATATCATCATAATCCTAAGCCTTTTTACGTCCCCACTACAGGGGCTCAGGCCTTCCTTATGGATAAGGTAGGCCTTAAAGTTAAGGAGAATAGGCCATGACCCTCCACGCTTGCCCAATGCGGATTAGGGGATATTAAAGACTACAAAAGCAGCCGGGACCAACGGCTTAACGTGCCTTCTGAAGCACGGAGTAGCTCGAGATAATAATTTTTTGGTCACCCATCCCGTGACCGACCCTTGCGAAAGTTGCTTAACGACAACGATCGCGGGCCGCGGCGCTTATCCACTACGCCACCAAGCTACTCCTACTCATATATATATATATATATATCATTCTACCTAGTTAAGAAATGGGCAGCCGAGATATTTGAAATGTCATTTATAACGCGGGTCGTTTTACCTCACTTACGCCTACTTCTTGCCCGAGTTTCGAGTTATAGTCGAGGTTTTTCATGTCGATGGAAAATAGCGAGAGCCTATCGCTTCTCGCCATGCATTCCCAACGTAGGTGGTATTCAGAAAAATATTTTCTCTTTGTACAATTTCGTTCACAATAGTTTCATTTCTGCAGAACTCGAGTGTGTAGACTTTGACAAAATTTATTGTCAATCCGTGGATGTAATTTTCTATTTGATATTAACTTCTAAGGATTTCTAACTTAAAATTTATTGACTGATTAAGATATACTTATGACGACTATAAGAATTTGAATTTCTATTACAAAACGTAGTCTAAATTTTGTAATATAAATTCAATTTCTATCACTATTGTTAAATAGACCATTATTAATTTCTATAGCATTCTACTTAGTTTTACCATATTCAAGTAGCTTATACTAATGAACGGTCCTTTGTCTTTCTAATAACCCCATTACAACGAGAAAAGGAGACCATCAAGAATGAAACAAATGCTTTCAAGATCAAATAATTCGTCTTCAGTTTGGTAGGCTATTGTTAATTTAGTCTCTTTTAGCATAATGTTATTTTTAACCGAATTCGAAGAATAAGTAAGTAGCATCTTAAAATTACTATTTATTACGTTTTGCAATATTTATTTTATTTGAAAGGATTATTACAGCGAAGACTTATAA